TCTCTTTTCTCCCTCTTTGGTTTTTTTTTTTTTTTTTAGGCATGGCAGGAAATGTGGGAGTGTTACATGTTACAAGGAAGGCAAAAGTCCTTCCATCACTCCTAGCAGAATGTGTACCCATTACTCGTGGAAGGGCCTTGGTGTTTGTCCCCAGCACCCATGTCTCCCAGCCTTGTTGCTGATGAACTTGAAAATGTGCTACAGGTGCTGCTTGCTTTTCTCCTGTATGCATGCCACCCCTGTCTGGACTGACCACCTCTATTGTTTAAGATGGTTTTGAGAAGAGCACGGTCCACAGTGAGCCTTGGGCCCAGTAAATAATCTGGTTGCTCTTCCCCAGGCAGTTGGCTTTTGGTCTCGGTTTCTTTCACTCATAACCAAAATAGCTGTAAATTAAACACTTTTCCCCACAAGTCCAAGAAGGCCAACCCTTATTACCCTTCAGGGATTCCATAGTGAAGTTTTTGTCATTCCATAAATATTTCCCCCAGGAATGTGTCCATCCATTTTCTGGCTTCACTTTGGGTGAAACAGGAGAGAGGAGATGGGCTTCATTTCAATCACTAATGGCCTTGGGGTTTCTAATCAAAACAAGACGTGGGTTTTAGCAACAAAAGCGAATACTGCTCTTCCTCGTGCAGACAGGACCTGGCCTGGGCATCCCCTGTTTCTGAGGATTTGTCTTAGCGGCAGGGAGTGCTGTGTTCCCAAAGAAGAGTTAGCCTTGGAAATGAGGGCCAGATTTCCCTGCCCTGGCTTGTCCTTGAAGCACACAGCCTCCTTCTATAAGGAAACAATGGCTTTGGTTCCTCTGTGACAAAATCACTCTTGAGGTGACAGTCCACAGCCTGTCAGCCTCAGGAATTGATCGTCCCGGAGTCTCAGGACATGAAGAAGAGAGATGAGGAGTGACATTTGCTTGACGTTGAAGATCTATGTCAGTGATGACATAACAGAGCAGAGGGACAAAGAGCTCCTTGTCCGGGCCCGAGCACTAAGAAACAGAAACGCTGACTGTGTGTGCTGTCACTCACGGTCTGTGAGCCTGTGAGGGAGTCACATCTTACACAGTCCAGCCCCAAATACAGGCTTCTCTGAACCACATTATTTCCCTACACATTAAAAACAGGAGAAGTTGAGATGCGCTTCCAGCCCCTGCTTCTTATGGGCTGAGTCCCTAGGACCCTGCGACCACCTCCCCCCATCACAGTGGCCCCAGAGTGGATGGGAAAGGCTGCTGGTGCCCCCTTCACTTTGCTTGTGGCTGTGGCCTTGTCCAGGGGTGGAGGCTGAGCCTATACACCAGACTGTCCCAGAGGGCCATGGGAGGCACACCTGGTCGCTCCTGTTTGCTCTCTTCCACTCACTGTCTGTCAGAGGTGCTCCCTCAGGTGAGGCCCTAGAAGAAATGGAGATTGATGGAAGCTGGAACTCACCTCTGTTGTTGGCTCTGACCCAGGCAGGGCGCTGTATCGTGATTCTTGTGTCCTGATGTGCACTCGGTTAGATGGTCCCAGATTCAAGTGTTCTGTCTGTCATCAGACTTTGCGTCTCATTTGAGCTGGGAAATGTGGTCAAATAGGAGCTAAGTCATCACCTGGATGTGGTTCCTGCCTGACTGCAGCTGGCCCATCATGGCAGGGCCGATGGAGCAAAGCAGTAGATGCGAAGCTGCCTGCTGCCGCCTCATCTCATGTGTACACGTGCACAGACATTTCTGTGCCCACAGACACACGTGCACACACACAGATACACACAGAGGAACCCATGCATGCACACACACAGACATACACGCATACAAACACATGGGTACCGCAGGGTTCCCCCTTTCAGGCCGAGGCACAGTTAGCCTGCTTCCCCACATCCCAGTGCCTAGGCTCCCATGCTGGTGCTGCTGTGAGGCTAGGACTTGCAGGGACAAGACTCTGTCAACATTAGACATTTAACCACCCTGGGAGTCACAGGGCCATTGGGGGCAGAACTGACTGCAGTGCACTGAGGACTGACTGACGGATGAGGGGACGACTGCACACACTGTGCATATGGGTGAGACAGGAAGAGGGCAGGTGGTGCTCAGGGAGAACCGTCCATGAGCACATCTGTGCAAGGAGGAGAGGGTGAAACGGAGCCAGAGGTTTGGGAAATTCAGGAATGAGGCTGGGAGGGATAAGTCCAGAGGGTCAAGGGGGGCAGGGGTGGCTCCAGTCCCCCAAGAGGACCTCTCATGACCTGAGACAGAGGAAGGAGACACAGATGCAATTCAGGGTAAAGATAGTAGGTGAGCTGGAAGTTGAGATGGAAACTCTGATGTTTTTTTCTTGGTCAAGTAGGAATTGGGGCCATATGCAGAATAGGGTCAAACATTTTATAGTGTGCTTGAGAGGGAAATTTGGGGTGCTCTGGATTGATTCACAGGAAGCCTACAGATGTAAAGTCTTTAGGCCTCATTGGAAATCATGGGCCGTAAAGGTGATCGGCACCATTTCCTCCATCTCCAGGGTTGCCTGGTTGGCTGGATACAGGGCTCAGACTTTCCCCTGGCCCCTGGTCTGGGAGTAGGTGCAATGCATGGCAAGGTCGTGTGGTTAAGGAGTTCATGGGAGGGTCCTGAAGGGGCTGAGCTGGAGATCCGGCTGCTGAGAGAACTGGGAGGAGAAAGCTGATCTTGTGAGATGCATGGAGAGGACTGGAGACCGGAAGGGGAGTGCAGTCCAGGAAGAGCCCCGAGTTAGCAGGCGTTTGAGAGGGTGGGATGACGCTGTGGTGAGACAGAGGTGGCAGTGTGGGTGCGGCTGGCTAAGATCTGGAGAAGCAGGAAGAAGAGGCGTCGAGGAGACAGAGTGAAGTGTGCACTCCTTGTGGCGAGGCTGCAGGGTTGCTGATGGCCAACACAAGGAGCCTGAAGATGCTAGGGATCCACAGAGGGAGTCTCCTGGGGCAGAAGAGTGGACAAGCAGAGGCCTTCCCTCCAGCTGGGCCTGGGAAAGCAGCCACCTTGGGAATGCTAGGCGATCTCACTCAAGCCTCTTGGAGTTCCTTAATCAGATTCCTGGTCTCATAGCAGGCAGAAGTAAATTCTCCACACCCAGGGACACTCTGCTCATACCCCAGACCGGGATGCTCTAGACAGGTAGTTCCCTGCTGGCCATGGTGCTGCTGGCCTCGGGGCCCCATGGCAGTGGAAGTTTATCCTGCCCATGCTTCCTGCAGGCCCACAGTTTGGAGGGTCCCAGCCTTCTCAGTGCACCAAGTTGGGGCAGGTCCATATTCCTATTTTAGGCTCTCTGGGACTGATGTTTTCCAGGGAGCCTCAGGATGTCTTAATATGCCTGCACCTGGGGGACAGCTGACATCCCAGGGCCATCACTAAGAGTCACAGTGACACATCATGTTGTCCTCATAGCTTACGTGTGTCTGTAATTGTTCATTAAAACAAAAGAGTAGAAGCATAACTGATGCAGATGTCTTTTAATGCTTGGCTTTGAACAAACAAGAAATCGCTCCCAAACTTTAATTCCGGTCACTGTATGTTACCAGCCTGATTTTTGCTGCATTCAGACTCTTACTGTTTCCTTTCTCAGATGACCCAGAGGCCTTCCAAGGCGTTCCTGTGCCATCACTGTGATTCAGCTCCAGGGTCAGGGGCCTCCTGAGAGTCCAGGTCCCCAGCCCTTGTTAATGGTTTCCTACCTCCTTAAGACCCTTGAGGCCGCTGCTGGTGACCACTGCCTGCCTATCCCTGGCAAGGTTGAGGGCCCCAGATGTGTCTGTCCAAGATTGTTCCTCGTGTTTTGTAGGGTTTGGTCTATGGGCTTCTAATGACATTGGAAAGCAAAGGTATTCACCACAGAAGTGTTTCCACAGTAGGCATCTTTTATTTTTCCATCCCCCGTTTTGATGCTTCCCTTTTGGTTCAGTGTAGTATTTAAGATTGTGGGCTTTTTTCCCTGGCTTTTTAGGGTGTGATGATGTTTGAGTTTTAACCTTTTCACCTGCATTTACCACCCTGTCTTGTCAGTAGGTATAATAGGCAAAACCCCGTTGGTAAGGAGAAATATGCAAGATAGGCATATCTGCCTGCACAGGTCTCTCCCAGCAGAAAGGAAGGCCGTTGGTTCCGGCCACTTGCAGTCTGCACATCTTGGCTTAGAGTGCCGCTGCTTTTGTTTCTAGGTGGGAAATACTTAAAGCACTTCTGATGGAGGGTGGATGAGCAAAGAGTGGCAAGGACTACCACTTGCTGCTTGACTTTATCTTTATAGTAATGATGTGAAGGACACACTCCATGGGCCACTTGAAGTCTCTGTAAAGCAGGAAGAGATTCTGCGAAGCTTTATGGCCCCTGCAGAGCAGGCACCCAACATGGACACCTCTGGTCTTTTGCAGCCCTCTCCCTGCCTGCACGGACGTGGGGACGTGCATGGTTCCTAGGAGCCAGAGAAGCGTTTCGGACCATTTGGGTGGGACTTGGTACAGTGTGGAACAAGTGTACCACAGATTACTTCAGTGGGTTAGGGTTGGGGGTCGGGGCTTGGACACACTGGAATGGGTCATGGTCAGCTACTCTTCTTTTACTGCTGAGAGATGGACTTGGGTATGAAGTGATATTGCTTGAATAATACCAGGAGTTTTGCAGAAAGGGGAAGAGATTATTTTCAAAGTCTTTAGAAGTCCTAAGCTGTATCTTTGGACTGCCAAGAGTTTCCCTCTCTGCAGCCTATCTCTGCTCCCTGACTCTCTGGGTGTTCTAGTTCTGCGTGTGGGACCAAGGAGTGTGCTGCAGCTGAGAGGTCTGGGAAGAGACACAGTAGGCAAGGCAGGACTGGGCCTCTCCGGTGCAGGCTTTTGTGTCATGAGTGGAGATCCTTCCTTGAAGGCAGTTGTGGGTGGATGGGGGGCAGAGGCAGTGACAGCTGAGGAAGCCCATGGTGAGTGTAGAGATGCAAAGTATGCGCATTCCCCTGGGAACGGTGGGCCTGGCCCTCTGGGGGCGGGTCTGACTTCTCCAGACTCCTCACTGTGCATCTGGGGAGACTTGTCTTCAGCAGGACATGGCAGCAGGAGGCAATGGGAGGTGCTTCATGCACAGCTGCTCTTGGCCAGATCACTGGGGCTCTCAGCTCAGGATCTCTGGGCTCCTTGATATGCTTGGGCCGGGCTTCCTACTCTCTCTTATAGCATCCTACCTTTGCCACAGTACCTGACACAGGGACGGTGTCAGCGCCAGATCCTGTTCTGTGTCAAGATTTAAGCAGGTGGGCCTGGGCTTGCCCCTTTGAACAGAGTTGGAAGGGAGATCCCAAGTCGCCGTGCCTTCTACAGCTGGTGTCCAGGGTTGGAGCACAGGAGAAGAGTCCTCTCCACTGGCAGCTCTGCGCGTGTCCCCCACTGTCCCTGTTGCTGAGTCCCCAGTCCTGCTCCCAAGTGTGCAGGGCCTCATTTCTTTATGGATCCTGCTCAGCTCCTAGCTCGTGTGTGGAGCTCATGCAGCTCACCGGCACCAGGCCCAGCCCTCCAATCATCAGCTCCCGTGAGGAAGAGGTGACCTTGGCCCAGCAAGTATGGTCCTGGAGATTTGCTTTTCTGTTTTCACAAGGCATTTCCTTCCTCTCTGTCTCTATGGAGGCTGCACAATGAAACCGCACATACATAAATGTATGCCGCTGAGAATCAAGCCTTGTTGCCAGGCAACTGGCAGCTTTCAGGTCTTTTGACATTCTGCTGGTAACTCAGTCTTATTTTATAAAAATAGAAAACAGTCAGAGCATTTCCTGGATGAGCCAATTAATAGGATCAGGTTGCAAGTACATCAGCATGTAAATCAGTTGCCCTGGTCTTATCTTCTTCATGCACTTTATCCTGCACATCAGGTTTCTCAACCACTGTGGTAAATTCCTTCAGATCTGTTTAAGGATCTCACGAAGACTTTTCCCCTTGACATGTTCATGAAGCCAACTGATCCAAGGGATCCAACAGCAGCTTTACTGGAAAATGGCATCAGGAGGAAGTGTCTTTCTGGTCTCTTGCTAGAGTGGTTGCTGTGGAAATTGGCCGAGAGGTTAGAAATTGGAAGCTTGAGGTCACCATTGAAGGAATTTAGGGAATCAGATCTGCCTTTTGAGAACTATCAGCTTGGCTACATTGCCAGGCTCACACGGGAAGGACCTGAGAGGAGAGGAGAGAAGAAGAGATTTGCTGCAGTGACCACCACAGCCATCAGGAGGCGGAGGGGAGAAGAGTGCAGAGATTTCTGATTTTCAGCACACAGGCAGAAGTTTGAGTCAAAGAAGCAGCTCACTGTGCTGTGTGAAGAGAAGTCAGAGTCGATGCTGTGTTGGGCACAGCGAGGCGCTGAGTGTGGCTTGTATTGTAAAAGCAGTGGCGATGTGTGGGGCGTGGTAGGGAGATATTGAAGTCAGGCAAGGAGTTGGATGTGCACTTCAAGTAGGGTGAGCAGCTGTGAGCCCAGGAGAGGAGAGGGTGGCTGTGAGTCAGGACCTGGGGAGCCCTGGGGCTCCTGGCTGACTGCTCCTTCTGGCGCTGCTCCAAGAACAGGGAGCAGCAGGGGGTGAGCACCCCTCCTCTGGTGGCCCCACTGTGGGCCTCCTGAGATGGCCCCTAGGATGGGTGCAGGCACAGGGGTAGATGGCGCCCTCAGTTATGGGCTTGAAATTGTGGAGCAAGGACCTCATTCCTGCTTCTGCAGGGAAGCATTCCTGCCCGTGTGAGAGCACTAGAAATCCCATCACCAAATTCCTGCTGTCGTCACTTTCCCTCCCCAGAAACCAGCCCTGCCCCAGTGTGCTGGAGCCATTTCTCTGGAGTGTTCACCTTCCCTGCCCAGGTCTTGGCTCTGTGGAGCAGGGGTGTGCGCTGCTTGGGCTGGTCCCTTTCCACCCTTCCAGAGTCAGCTGGGCGGGCGGTGTCAGGGAAGGAAAGGAGCACCAGCCTCAGCCTCTGTCTCTTTCCTCCCCCAGGACTCACCCACCCATTCTCTCCCAGAAGTCAGCCACAAGGATGCATAGTACCAAGGCCCCCAGCAGCCAGCGCTGCCTGCATCCTCCCCGAAGTCAGTCTCTGGGCCCAGGGCTTCCCCTTCCACAGGACCTGCTCCTGGAAGCCCTCAGTGCCTCCTCCATCCCCAGGCCCACTTGATCTTTCAGATTCCCTTCCTGAAAGCACCCCCTGTCTTTGAGGTCCAGCTTCTCATCACTCTCCGCCCATCTCTCCCATCCCTCAGCCCTGAGTCTCTGCCTCCTCCACCCTGTTCTCTAGTGGTTTCACTTTTACTGTGCTTTTCAGAGCTTTTAACTATATTTCACCTGCAGATCCCATATGCAGGGTGTGCTTCACCTTCCTAACAAGACCTCTGTGCTGGAGGACAGGCAGGGTGGCCCTTGTCTCTGCTCTTCCCTCCCCTCCTGGGACCTGGCTCAGGTCTCTACAAGGGGCACATGGCTGCCCTCCCTGGCTTGCATGGCAGAGGGCTTAGGCACCTGTGACTCACGTGCTGTCTGGCCCTGTGGGCATGCCTGTCCCCAGGCTGGGTGATGGGGCTGGGTGTTCAGCTGCTTAATACATGCAGCCTTGGAAGCAGCCCTGCCTGAGGTTGCTCCTGTCTTGCTGTTTGTGTCATTGCTCTTCCTTTTATTTGGGGGGGTCCTGGGGATTGAACTTGGGTCCTTGCGCTTGCAAGGCAGGCCACCGAACCGCTGAGCTAAATCCCTGGCCTCTTATTGCTCTTCCTTAAGCACCAGTGAAACCCTAAGTCCCACAGGAGACGTGGGGTGTATTTTTAGACAGTTCTTTTATGCCAAGTCTCAGCTTTGTCTCAGTGTTGTTGAATGGGGTTGGCTTTTCTTCTCTTTCAAACCTAAAGGTAATAATACCTGGATGGAAACATTCTACCAGCCCTTCTCTTTTCATGTTTTTCATGTCAACACATCACAGAGATTGAGTTCAGTAATTCCATGCAGTCCTTTTTAAAAAGCTGGGTATTTGTTGTTTAAAGCCAGGGTTGCACCTGTTCTGTTACAGTGCTACAGAAAGTGTGTTGGGTAGAACAAAACTTGTTCACAACTTTGTACAAAGTAAATCTGTGGCACTACAGGTCTACTCAGTGACATAAAGAATAGCAAGGTATACAAATGCTGCTCGATTTATGATAGGGTTACATACTGCCAAACCCATCAGAAATTGACAACATAAGTTGAAAATACATTGACTTCTCCTAGCCCACTGAACATCCAGCCTGCCTAATGGGCACTTACATTAGCCTGAAGTTAGCAAAGTCACCTAAGTCCATACATATTTCATAGTTCAGTGTTGAGTGTCTCACTCCGTTTATTGAATACCTAGCTGAAGTGGGAACAGAATGGTTACATGGGTTAATGTACATTGAAGTACGGTTTTTACTGAACTCTTCATTTTCATGCCATCCTAAATTTTAAAAATTATAAGCCAGGAGCCTCTTATAGTGCTTCTTACTGTAAGGTACAAGAAACACACAAGCAGTTACTGACTGCATCCTCTGTGTCATTCATTTCCTCTTCTTTTTGTGTGTGTGTGTGGGGGGGTGTGCGCTCACCTGTGCACGTGTGCCTGTGTCCCTCCATGCATAGATATATGTGTGCACCTGGGAGACACACTGGGGACCCGGTGTGGTGCCTTCATGCTTTATGTCCATACACAGTGCATAGAGACATCGGGAGCACTAAGAGCCTTCAGTCTGTGTGTGGAGGTGGAGACTGGAGGTCTGTGCTCCCCACCCAGATTGGGTCATCGGAACTGCTCCCTGGCAGCATGTGTCCACAGAACTCAGCCATGTGGACTCAGTGCCTGGTGCTCAGTCATTTGGTGTCAACAACACGCCGTTTTATCCTATTGGACAGCAACCCCTTGTCTGATACTTCTCTTTTTGCCCCTCCCGGTCTCCTGCTTCCTGGGAAGAGAGAATCACAGCGAGATCGAGCGGCGCAGGCGGAACAAGATGACCCAGTACATCACCGAGCTCTCTGACATGGTCCCCACGTGCAGCGCACTGGCCCGGAAGCCAGACAAGCTCACCATCCTACGCATGGCTGTCTCGCACATGAAGTCCATGAGGGGCACAGGGAACAAATCCACAGACGGGGCCTACAAGCCTTCCTTCCTCACCGAGCAGGTGCCCGCTCTGCGCTCCTCTGTGGTGTACTCCCAGCTAGAGGGGAGAGTCGCAGCTTCACCGTGCTGACGTAGATGACGTGGGGGTGGGGTGGGGTTTGATGCCGAAGAAGGGAGGAAGCCAAGAAACCTTGCTTGCACTTTTCAGCAAGAAGTGCTCTTCAAGAGTGTCTGGTCTTTTCATCTTCTGTTTATTATAGTTCAGTGAGATGACCCTGCAGATATATGCTGTGCATCTGAATAATAGGCTTAGCAAGTGGACAGGGAGAAAGTCAGTGGGAACAGAGCTTTGTGCACCAGGATAGCGGTGAGGGTGATCCCCCACCCCTTGTCACAGTTAGCAGTAACGGTGATGGTAGCAGGACTGTCACAGCTGGCATTAGAAGGCATCTGCAGTGCCTGGCTAGGGTCAGATCTTTTTATGCATTATTTAATTTTCTGCTCATTCTAGTCCAATGGAGAAGCCAGTTTTATTAATACCCATTTTATAGATGAGAAAGTTGAGGCTTGGAAAGAATCAACAAATTGCCAAAAGAGAATCAGCTGTTTCTGAAGGAGCCAGGAGCTGGTCCAAGAAGATGGAGTTTGGATCCCAAAACCATACAGTTAACGCTTGTGTTGGTCTTTGGATGTTGGGAAGAAGAATGCGAGATAGCAAAATAGTATTTTGTTAATGAAATCACATGAATCAGAATTCTGAATCCTTTCAGGATGTGCCGGCCACAGGGCAAACCAGCCAGATATCTAAGCTTCCCTTCCTTATCTGTGCAGTGAATGTGAAGCTTTCAGACTCTGAAAGCTTCTGCATGATAAATGAAATGATGGATTTGAAAAGACCTTGTGTACAGTGTAGGGGAAAAGGCAGAACAGTATAGTTGTCAGGAAGTGTAGTTAGGAAGTATGAGAGCTTGCAGAGTAGAGAATCTGAGGAATGCGCTGCTTAACAAGTCAAGAACATGGGGGCCAGAATGGAGCAGAGCAGAAAGGCCCTGGTGCCATTGCACACCGATGCTCGGGATGGGGACAGCATGAGCATCCTGGGGAGGAGCCACAGAATGTGCAGAGAAGGGAGAGGGATTCTACATGGGAGCCTCAGAGGGAGGAAAGAAGACATTTGACAAATCTCTTCTGTGGTGCCGAGAATGTGTTCATGTTGTGGGAGTAGGTTTAGACAAAGACCATAGAAGGGAAGCAGCATTTGTGACTGTTCTGTTCGGCGGTTAGCAAGTGCTTCACCTGCTTGAACCCTGTGGAATCCCCTGGGGCTCTGTGTCCCCTCATCCTCAGCTGTCCAGATGGTGTGGCAGTGACCACGTCGGCCCTTGGGGGACATGGAGCATGGTGGCTCAGGGCAGCGGCTTCAAGCCTCATTTCCGCCTCCATAAAAATGAATTCCATGGTGGGTCCCAGGCCCTGCGGATGTAGTGAGGGAGCAACGTGTGTCAACTGCTCCACACTGGGCTTGGAGAGGAACCAGATAGAAATGCACTGAGCACTACTAACCAGTAGGGCGATAGGAAGCTTTTCCTCTACGTTTATTTCTTACAAAACTCTTGCAGGGACAGCATTTGAAATGACTCCCTGAGCGCCTACAGTGGCGTGACTGTAGAGGAGTGGAAGCCACATGAGGACTACCTGCGTTTCTCTCTTGCTCAAATAGGTGATGGTAACAGCCGTGTTTATGGAGCACCTCCTGTGCACCGGCCCTTGCTAAATCCTTCACCACAAGAGCTCATTTAATCCCCCAAAATCTCACTGAAAACAAAACTGAAAATAGCAGAAGCTGCAGATATTAAGTGTGGAAGAGCCAGGATGAGCCTTCTTTTTCTCCAAACCCTTGGTCTTAGCCTCTACTGTCCGTTAACTGAAGACAGAGGCTGGGCAGGTTCTGGCTTCCAACACAGAACCTTGGATTTGAGATGAACTCAGGGAAAAGTGACAAGTGAAGGTGAGGGTAGCCCTATCCATAGGCCCTTCCTGATCCTTGCAAACTGGATGCCAACATGAATTGACAAGTGAAGCCATTCAGCCCTCCCCGTGACAGAGTTCTCTACTTCGCCAGATAGTCTGCCCACCTTTAAAACCTTTAAAAAGGCTCTTCCTGTTGGGAAGATCTTCCTGATAGCCAGAATAAAATTGCTGACCCAGTCCTAAGTGTCTAGGAGACACAGCAGAAGTGCAAAGGATGGGAAATGAGCAAAATAAACTTCCTGGAAAAATGCTTGTGTAGTCTGCTTCCCTCCGAGTTTCTCAGGCTGAGGAGGTTTGTATTCTTCCCCTGCCCAGCACTTAGACACATTCACAAAGCTCCTGTGGTCCTGCAGCCCTGCTTCCAGCAGATCAGCATCTTCTCAGCTGCAGTTGGGGCTTAGGTCGGGGCCAGAAGCTCCAGCTGGGTGACTGCAGCAGGAGCCTTTGTCTCTGGAAGCTGCATGGGCAGGGAGACAAAAGGAGTCTTCTGGTGTCCGGTGCAGACATCAGGTTTTCTCTGCTATCCAGTGGGGACATCAGGGGTTCTCTTACATCAGGTGTAGACATGAGGGGATCCTCTTGTTTCCAAAGACACTGCTTAGCTTAGATCTGCAGGAGGAGGGGAGTATGGAGAGTGTACTGTCACTGTGTCAGGCACTTGGTGAGGAGACACCTGGTCTGGCCCTTTTTCCTTTATTCCACCAGCATTTTCTGTGCCAATCGCTGAGTGCTGGTCCCCTCTGCAGCCGTGTTATGGTTGCATTTTCAATATGCAGGGATGACACTCACACCTCTGGCAGCCCCACACCCTGTGGTGGTCACCTACCCTGCCAACATTGGAGAAATCTCTCCCTGAGAGAGGGCTGTGTCTCAGGAATGGTGCATTTTTCTAGCTTATTTCCTGGGAAAACTGCATTATTTTCCTATATTATTTGTACACTCGAATAAGTATTAGAATAAAAGAAGCTAGAGGTTGTTGATAAGAAAAAGTAATTGATTTGTGTCTTCTGGAGCCTGTGCTGATCCCAATTTTGCCTTCCTAGGAGCTGAAGCATCTCATCCTGGAAGCCGCTGATGGTTTTCTGTTCGTCGTGGCAGCCGAGACAGGGCGAGTGATCTACGTGTCTGACTCAGTCACGCCTGTTCTGAACCAGCCCCAGTCAGAGTGGTTTGGGAGCACCCTATACGAGCAGGTGCATCCTGATGATGTGGAGAAGCTGAGAGAGCAGCTGTGCACCTCGGAAAACTCAATGACAGGTCAGTGTGGCTCTTCTATAGGGCTGTCCAACCGCAGGAAAAATTCTCCTAGTAAACATGCTGAAAATATGCAGTCATAAAAAGCTCCCTAAAGGTGAGAGAGTGTACTTTACTTAGCCTGTCATAGCTTCATTCACCCTTTACTTTTTAAAAAATCTTTTTTAGTGTGTGAGGGATTGAACTCAGGACTTTGCTCTTGCTAGGCAGGCGCAGTGCCAATGAGCTAAATCCCTGGCCCTAAAAAAAAAAAAAAAAAATCTGTTTTTAAAGCATTACTTTTCTGTATTTTACCTGTAATTACAGCACCTTGCCACTAGGAGCCCTCATTGCTGCACTAGTCGGGTCCACACACTCATGAAGTTGGTGCAGAAAGTGTGTGGTTATTTGTGATCCTGATCATAGATGCTCGTTACCCAGGCCTTAGTCATCTGGAATGTTGTTTCTTACAGAAAACGTTTAACTACAAATGGTTCTGCTATAATGTAACACACACTGAAAAATCACCATAGTATAGGGCCAGGGATTTAGCTCAGTAGTGCCAATACTTGCCTTGCAAGCCCAAAGTCCTGTGTTCAATCCCTAGCACACACACACACACACACACACACACACACAAAAAAAAAATCACTACCATATACAAAAATCATGCAGTAAAACTACAGGGCTTATGGAACCAAAGTGGGTTAAGAATACAAACTTCAGTAATGTATCCATGGCAGAGAAAAGCAAAAATAGAAATCTGTTAAAAACAGTAGCTCATCTTTACATTTAGATGGTTAAAACATTCATAAATATTATGAAACATGGCCCTTGAAGTTGGCGAGTGAACGTGTGTCTCAAAGGTGTTGCCACGTGTGAGTTAGAGATGGTGGAAGTCGTGAAATCAGATGGAGAATTTTAACACCACATGTGGGTGAGTGTGGCTTGTAACAGGCAGCGAACCAAGATTGTTGGTAGATGGCCCTGGTTGTGAGTTTTGTGTATTCCTTTATGATTTGGTTGTGCTAGGTACAGTTTTTTGTTCATCTAGTAGTTCTCACAAGATAAACACAAAATTCTTATCCTCAGATTGTTCCCTAATACAGTGGTACCTCAATTAAAAAACTTAATTCTTGTCACAAACCGTGCTGGATGAGAACTGAATCAAAATTCCTATAAGGTCAGCATTGAACCTAACCATTGGATGTGATGTGGTTCTTATCCGGTTCCCCTTGGACCAGAATTGTGGAAAGAAGTAAGTTTGAGAACCACGGTACCGGTGTGTATTAATCGAATGAATTTACGTTTTCATAAAGAGTTACAGATTTGTTGTATCATGACATGCGTGTTTTGCCCGCTCATGGTGGGTTTGGGCCATGCTGTTCTGCTGGATCACACTGGGGGTGCTGGTTCCTACTCTGCACCTGCCCGCAGTGCCTGTCTCTGGGCTCTGTACGCAGGAGGCCTTCAGAACAAGCTTCATGGAGTGAGTCTGTGTTGCACTCATTGTACTCTGCTCTTGTTGACGAGTCAAATACCACAGCCTGCGTGACTTAACAGAAATTTATTTTCTCAGTTCTCTACACAGAAAGTCTAATAATGGCGTAGTCTATTTGGGCTGCTATAACAAAATATTATTAACTGGGTAGCTTTTACATGACAAAAATTTATTTTTTCACAGTTCTAGAAATTAGAAAGGCCAAGATCAAGCCACCAGTAGATTTAGTGTCTGGTAAGGGCCCATGTTTTGGTTCCCAGGTGGCATTTCTTGAAGGGCTTAGTTGCTGTTGTGGTCACTTTCTCATTACTGGTGCAGAATTCCCAACACCCACAACTGAAAGAAGGAGAAGTTTATTTTGGCTCACATTTTAAGTCCATGGTTGGCTGGCTCCAAAGCAGGCAGGGCATGGTGTCAGGGTCGGGTGGAGAAGTGCTGTCCACGTCTTGGAGGACAGGAAGCAGGAGAAGGGAGGAGTCAGGGAAGAAGATAAACCCTTCCAGATCACCTGCCTCTTCTGGACAGACCCCACCTCTCATCAGCACATTCGGTTGTGGATTCATCGTCCGTGGATCCAAGCACCTTCCACACACATGAGACTTGGGGAGGGCATTTTAGATGTAGGGCCTCTTCTGTAAGGGTACTGATTAAATCATGAGGATGCCACTCTCATGACTTAATGACCTCCCCAAATCCCGCCTTCTAATACCAATAGTACCTTAGGGGTTAGGAATTCAAGGTAAGAATTTGAAGTCAGATATTCAGTTCATTGGGCCTGTGACGGTGGTGCTGGCAGGGCTGGTGTCTCCTGAGACCCCTCTCTTCTGTTTCCAGATGGCCACCTTTTCTTTGAGGCCTCCATGGTCTTCTCTGTGCATCCCTGGTGTGTCACTTCCTCTTACAGGGACTCTAGGCACACTGGATCAGGGCCACTCTGACCTCATTTTACCTTAATTACCTCTTCCAGGGGCTAGCTCCAAAGACAGTTACATTTTGAAGTTCTAGAGGTTCGGACTTCAACATGTGATTTCAGAGTTCATAATTCCACCCATAACACTTAGGGTAAGACTGAGTCAGAGGTGACAAAGAAGGCACAAGTGCAGCTGTTTCTGAAGGATGATAGCAGTTTCCTTAGTGCTGATGATCCGTGATTCACAGCAGGAGGAAGAGGACAGAGGATTAGGATATGAGGACAGGGTCTGCCTTACTGTTTCCTCATGGGGTGACACATCTGCTAGTGAGCCGCATGTTTTCATAAAACACCAGTGTTAACACAGACCCAGAAAGACTTGTCCTGCCGTCCAGTCTGGAGCTGAGTTAAAGAACTTCACACAGAAGTTCTAAAGAATACACACGGCAGAGTTAGGTATTGGGGCAGGAGAGAGAAGGGAAAGCAAGTCACCTAAGAAGTGTTGTTGACAGCTGAAAATTCCTCCTCTGGAAAGAGCTGTCTTTCCCAGATTCTGTGTCCATCCACAGGATGTGGCTTCCTGAAAGCTTGTCTGGAGACCCCGCTAAGGGCCCTGGCAGGGGAAGTGGTTGTCAGGGATGGGTCAGGCTCAGCTCAAGGGTGTCATTAACAAGGTCGGGGGATGTTTCTGTGTGTGAAGTCTTAATGTGGCTGGCAGAGTTCGTAGGGCAGTAAGGCACACTGGCTGTAAATGCCTTTGGAGGGGTGCTGGGCAGTGGCCACAGCAGCCAGAGCCGGTGCAAAGAGTGGGCAGTGCTCCAAGATGACAGAGAAGACCCGAAGGCAGTGTGCCCCTTCTGGTTGGCCTCCTCTCCAGAGCAGCAAGAGCAGTCTGGTGAAGCTGCTTCTTATCCTTAGTATGGAAGAGGGGAAGGTCCCCGGAGGCCACAGGATGACCTGTCACTCTGCCATGACCCAGCATGAAAGCTTGGCGAGCTGGAAGGAGGTTGGAAGAGATTCCTACAGCAGGGTTCCCTCACTGGTGGCCTTGGGGGTTTAGGGTGCTCAGGAAGAGTGGGGCTTGTCTTTGTGAGCAGCCAGCCCAAGGGTAGGCACAAATGCAAACTCTCCTAACGAGCTGTAAGGGTGTGTGGCTGGGCTAGGCTGTCTCAGACCCTCCTGTCTTTGTTCCTAACCTGTGTGCTTTTAGGCAGGGAAATAGGGGATGTGGTGATTTGGCTATTTAAGGTGCCCCCTCCCAGCATTGTGTGGTCCAGTGCTCCTAGGCTGTGGTGTGCTTTATGGAGGAAACAGGTGCACGTTAGGCAGGCTTCATCCAGACAGTGCTGTCGCCTGTGAGTGCAGTGTCAGTGAGACAACAGTGTACATGAAATAAGGTGTCTTTAATCAGAAGCACTCAGACAAGGTGCTTCTGGGTGACCAGAAGCTGGCAGCGACTTAACCCTGTGCTTCCCCTGGGAGTGGTAGGTCTGTATTTGCTAATTCAGTATCCATGGCAACTTTATAAATCACAGCTCCCTGGGATGATGAGAATCTGTTGTGTGCCTTCTCTTCCAACCCAGGCTTTGCTCCTCTTTGCACAGGATGGATTATCAGGCAGGCCAAGGTGCTTACATGCAGCTCTGTCTTCACTTGGGGCCTGTGGCTGAACACAGATGCTTCTACAGATGCTCCTACACATGTCTTAGGGCTGCCTCTCTGCCCTTCACTTGAACCCCTGTCATGCCCTGACCAATCCCGGGATCTAGGGAGACCCTGATCCAGGGTTGAGGCAAACTTCTCCACTCAGGACCTTGGTACCCAGGAGCTGGAGAAAGTGATTCCCAGAAGGAAGTCAGTGCAGTCACCCAGAGGAAGAGACACTAGGCGGGCAGATTGGCAGGTGTGCAGAGCCAGCCCCGGACAGCCAGGCTCAGCCATGTTTGAGGTGTTCCTGACAGGGAAGGATGGAATGTTCTGGACACTGGGGGTGGCCTGGAATACTAGGGCTGGGTGACAGGATTCTGAGCAGAAAGTGGAGTGGATGCCAGCTATGGAGGAGACTGATAGAGATTAGATGTAAGTGTTGTTGGGGAAGAAGATGCACAACTAGTGATGGTGGATATCTGAGAGCCTTAGCCCTCCCTGTGGGGCAGCCGAGGAGAGGCGCAAGGCCTTGCAGGTGATACAAGGCCACTGATGTAACAACAGGTAGGGTTGAGAGCCAGCAGAGGGCAGCAGACCACTGGCACGTGGAGTGAGATGATTATCCTCAGTGTCTTCCTGTGGGAAGCCGAGACCCTGGTGAGCACAGGCAGAGGTGGCTTGTCGGTGACCCCACTCCCTCAGCAGGAAGGAATTGTCCGGATTGTCTGGCCAGGACGTAGATGTGGAAGATGATGACTATGGGCTCCTTAAGACAAGGTCCATTTGGTCCTTTCCTTGGCCTTGTACTGTTGCGGTTTGTTTTCACTGGGCTCTCCCTGTATTCTGAGAAGTGGGTCTACATTTTGGTTCAGCTTAGAGAATAACTTTGAGGTAGTTAGAACAGTCTAACGGTAGAAAGTGTGCCAGCAGAGTCTGAATTCCTCCCTCCCGCCCTTCCTCCCTTTC